GGCGTCTCCGTTTGCACGGCGCGGAGCACGACAGGGGACGACGACGACGACGACGACGACGACGACGACGACGACGACCTCCAACGCACCCTGAGATCGTAGCTTGCGTTGATCCCATCGTATTGAGACTTAGGGGGCACATTCCAGAAATGATTTCGAGCACCCAGAAGAATATCGAGACAGTGTCTGCCCGACACGCTGGCGAAGTGTCGAACGAGCATCGCCTCCCAGCGCCCGACGCGTGTAAACCCTTCAGTTTCGATACTCTCTTGGTGCTCGAAATTATTTCTGGTGGTCAAGGGTACAGTGGGTTGGAACATCTTAAATCCTGGCGATTCCACTGTACGGCGCGGAGTGCGCCAAGGATGACGACGACGACGACGACAACGACGACGGCGAGATCCCCATCCCTGGCAGCGCAAGAGGCGCCGCCAAGAGTTTTCCAGTGCGGAACAAGGATGTCCACGCACACCTACGAAAGTCGATGCCACGTGTCCGACCATGGACCCCTTGTTACCCACCGCTCCTGAGCCGTCTTCGGCGGTCTTCAGGCGGTTTTCGGCGGTATTCGGAGGTCTTCTGACTGTCTTCGGAGGCTTCTGGCGTTTTTGGGCGGTTTCCAGCGGTCTTCGGCGCGAAAGCTGGATGGCTGAGTTCAACAAGTTCAACAATGGTTCCATGCTCGAACACCGAGTCCATTTCGAGGCAGGGACCTCTCGGGTTCGAGCTTCGACATAGTTTTCACGTTTACGTCCGATCGCGGCGGCCTTCCAGCCCTGGGATGCGCTCCAGCAGCTGCGCCTCGCCGAGGGCGTTCCTGGGATGCCCGGAACGTCCCGAACGGCCGCGGGAGATCTGAGCTATGACCCGAGAACCTCAAAGGCTGAGACCCTAGCGTTGCAATTTTTTCAGCAGGAAGAGGGAGCACGACCTCAGAGCTTCACCTGATTTGACCTCGACCGCTGTGCGAATCCAGAGGTCGCCAGGCAAACCAGAAACACTACACGAGCCGACCTGCAGACTCATGGACTGAACCGTGGCCTGAAAGAGTAACGAGCGTGCCGCATGCGTGGCCTCCGAAATGTGATCCTGGCGTTGCATGTTTTTCACAACGGGCGCTTTGGCCCAGCCTCTAACTCAAAAGATGGCGCGGAAAGGTCAGGTCTGGGGCTCTGGTGATTTTTCGCGATGTTTAATTTTGTTTGCAACGTCTGCTCTGAGGGGGGCCTAGACCTCCAAAGCATGAAAAGTGGCAGCGCGGAGTTTTCTTGCCGTTTTCGGCCTCCGGGGGCCCTCGCCAGGCCCGAGGAGCGACAGAAAACAGCCGGGGTATTGCAAAAATGAGGACGTCGGATCTCGGAAAGCCCATGCCTCCCCGCGCCGAGGTTTCCGGGAGTGCTAGTGAGGGGGAGCGCCCAGGAAGTGAGAGGGAGCAGGCCTTCTCATAAGGCGCGGCGCTTCTCAGACACCCTCCAACCTTCTGAGAAGACGCCTCTGCCTTCGGAGAAGGCTTAGAGAAGTTCTCACCTTCCAGGCCTTCTGAGAAGGCACGCCCCCTCTGCAGTCCCCCCTGGGCTCCTCCTCCTCCTCCTCCTCCTACTCCTCCTCCTCCTCATCCTCCTCCTCCTCCTCCTCCTCCTCCCCCTCCTCCTCCTCCTCCTCCCCCTCCTGAGGGGGAGCGCTGGGCCCTGACAAATCTGCGATGGGCTCCCGAGAGCGAATCTGATTTCGAGGCATGCTAATGAAGGGGACGCCAAGGAGGAGAACCGCAAGCCCCCGATAGATTCGTAAGAGGCCCCCGATAATATCGACCCCGATGGATCGGATCAACATGGCCCTCTGCAGGGATCCACGGAGTGCGAAACAAAAAAAACGGGGTCGGAGGTCTGGGGAGGCGGCCGCCCGAGACGCCCGTGGGCCGCGCCGCCGCCATGGCCAGCCGACACTGAAGGCCGCCCAATCGGGGCCGGAGCTGACGGGGCAGGCTCCTCCATCCCTCCCTCGTACTGCTCATGCTCATGCTCACCTCTCCTCCCTACCTTCTTACCTCCCTACCTCACTGCCTCCCCGCCTGCCTCCCCTTCTCCCTTCTGCTCACTCCCCCCCCTCCCAATGCTCTTTCCTCATCCTCCTCCTCCTCCTCCTCCTCCTCCTCCCCTCCTCCTCCTCCTCCTCCTCCTCCTCCTCCTCCTCCCTCCTCCTCCTCCTCCCTCCTCCTCCTCCCCTCCTCCTCCTCCTCCGTCCTGCCTCCTCCTCCTCCTCCGCCTCCTCCTCCTCCCTCCTCCTCCTTCTCCTTCTCCGTCTGCCTCCTCCTCCTCCTCCTCCTCCTCCTCCTCCTCCTTCTCCTCCTCCTCCTCCTCCGCCTCCTCCCTCTGTCCTCCCCCCTCACATCTCTCCACCATCGTGGGCGTGAGGGAGGCAGGGGAACGCCGAGGGAGGGGGCGCGGGAGAGCAGAGGGGCACCCGACGCGGGGCGCAGCGGCAGGCGGCAGCACGAGCAAGAGGAGATAAGCAGCGAAGGAGCGCTGAGAACGAATGAGCGCTGAGCAGCAAACGATCGGATGATCGCTGTCGCTGAGGAGCATATGAGCGCTCAATAGCATGCGAGCGACGGGCGCTTAGTAGCATACGAACGACGATAGCATGCGAGCGACTAATAACATACGGACGGCGAGTGCCGAGCAGCAAACGAGGACACACGAGCACTGGGTAGCATGCAAACGACGATAAGAAACGAACGAGCGCTGAGAACGAAGGGACGAACGAGCGCTGAGGTCGAACGAAGAGAAACGAACGAACGAGACAAGGGTGATACAAAGAATAAACTATCCAAGCGAAGGACCCAACCATATGCGATTGTTACTACCGCGGTGTGGGTACCGCGTTCGGTGGAACCCCTTTCTGAAGCCACGAAACGTCTTAGGAGTGTGTCGTAATGGGTGGGGCAGACGCATACGGCCGCGGCCACTCGGGTCTTCGGTGGTGCTCCATATGGAACCACGAATCGCTGTACTGGGTGGGGGGACGCATGCGGCCGCGGCCACTGGAGTCTTCGGTGGAACTCACCATGGGGGCACGGAACGCTGTACTGGGCGGGGGAGACGTATGCTAACACTGGATCTTGGACCTTCGGTGGAGCTCCTCATGGCGCCACGAAACGTTGTGCCAGGTCTGGAAACCGCATGCGGCCGCGGCCACTGGGGTCCTCAGTGGAGCTTCCCACCGGGGCACGAAACGATGTACTGGGCATGGGAAACGCACGCGAACGTCACATCTGGGACCTTCGGAGGAACCCCCTATGGGGCCATGAAACGCTGTACTGGGTGGGGAGAACGCATGCGGGCGTCGGCCTTGGAGACTTCGGTGGAGCTCCCCTTGGGTCCACGAAACGCTGCACTGGGTGAAGGAAACACATGCGAACGTCGCCTCTGAAGCCTTCGGTGGAGCTCTGTAAGGGGCAACGAAACGGTGTGCTGGGCAGGGAAAACGCATGCGAACGTCACCTCTGAGGCCTTCGGTGGAGCTCCATACGGGGCCACGAAACGTGTGAGGGGTGTGCCGAACTGAATGGCGGGGACGCATGCGAACACCGCTATAGGGGCCTTCGGTGGAGCTCCCTATGGAGCCACGAAACGTAACGTGTGAGGAGTGCCCCGAATCGAGTGTGGGGACGCATGCGAACATCGCCACTGGGGCCTTCGGTGGGGCCCCTTATAGGGCCACGAAAAAGGTGAGAGGTGTCCCGAATCGAGTCTGTGGACGCATGCGAACATCGCCACTGGGGCCTGCGGTGGAACGCCTTATGGTGCCACGAAGCGTGTGAAGGGTGTCCCGAATCAGGTGCGGGGACGCATGCGAACACTGCCATTGGGGCTTTCGGTGGAGCTCCCTATGTGGCCGCGAAGCGTGTGAGGCGTGCCCCGAATCAGGTGCGAGGACGCATGCAAACACCGCCACTGGCGGCTTCGGTGGAGCTCCAAATTGGGTCACGAGACGTGTGAGGGGTGTGCCAACATGGTGAGAGGGAGGATGGAGGAGGGGGAGGAGGAAGGAAGGAAGGAAGAAAGGAAGGAAGGAAGTAAGCAAAGCGGGAAGGAAGGAAAAAGGAAGGAAGGAAGAAAGGAAGGAACGCGGGGCGCTGTCTCCTCAAAACGAGTGGACAACACAACAGGATGGTTGGGAAATCCAAAAGAAAAAAAAAGAAAAGCGTTCTGAGGTCCATGCGGATTTCTTAGATCGGCGCTGACAGCCCCATCGCCTGGCGCGCGGAGCGCGCTGGGTGCGGCGCGGCGCCGCCAGGGGAGTCCAGCGCCGATCCAAGAAATCCGCGCAGACCTCCGAAAAAAGATGCTGTGCGTGCGTATGCGTTTTGCTTCTCCTTCCTCTTCGTAGAGAGGCGGAAGAAGGCGAAGCGGAAAACAACAGAGGGCACGGTAAGGGGAGGGAGAGGATGGGAGGAGAAGAAAGGAGGAAGAAGAACGATTGCAAGGAGAAGACAAAAGAGATGATGAGATCGCACCGCATCGGCGGTGCGTGCGTGACGCCAGGAAGGAGAAGATCGGACTTCGGAGCGCGCCGCATTGACGGTAGGGGGTGCTGCGCGATGCTCCGACCATGTCCGCCACGGCCCCATTTGGGAGACCTGGAGGCGCGGCGGGAGGCGGGCCTGGGCCTCTGGAGGATCGAGGCTCGAAGATCCATGTTCGAGGTCTGTGGACATGCTCGCCGCCTCGGGAGTTCGAGGAGGCTTCGAGGACCCAGCCGCGGGGCCCGCTAAGACCCAGAAGCCTCCGACGTCGCGATCTGTTCGCAGCATGAACCCCGGGACGCCTGGACCTCCTCTTCCCTGGGACCCCAACCCGATTCCTTTGAGCCCTCCGAGCGCCACGATCTTCGACCCTCGACCCATCGATACGCTCCTCGACCCCCGACCCATCGATCCTCGCACCTCGATCCTCGAGGGATCCCCAGGCCGAGAACGCCTCGACCCTCGCCCCCTC